AGATACGAACTGTTTAAATGTCAACAATCAATGCCGTAAAATCATTTTTCATCCAGCGTTCAGAGAAGAAAGATTGAGCTTTGCTTGTGAAGATGTTTTATATGAACTGCAAGGGAGTTTAGCTGCATTTCAAGAATTATCTATATTTAAAAGACTTGAGAAAACTACTTATGTCAAAAATTAGTTTGAAAAGCTAATTATTAAATTTAAAGAGGCTGAGGAATTGCGTGCTCTGTCAAGAAGCCGAAGAGGACGAAAATAAATTTGAAATCAAACTGTAGAAGTCGCTGTTGCTATAGTTAACAAAACGTCCTATTCCCGATATTCTTAGGGAAGTTCTTTAGAGGTGTCAGGTAATTTGTCTATCGCTTGGTCTACGATGCGGAAATCTCTGTGATCCATTTTAAAGTGATATCCATACAGCGTCCACATGGTGCAAAAGCACCATGTGCAAATGCACCCTCAAAAACCGCATCAAAGCACTGACTTTGCTTGTCAGGTTTTGGAGAGAATAGTTGTTGACAATGAATGGCCCTGGAAAATTTTGTGGTGAGACTAGGCGCATTGTTCTCTAGACGGAGCAATGAAACTCAGACCTGTAGCATATGGGGTACTACGAATCCCAATGCTGTGCATTAATAGCCTCAGTATTCTGATTGCGTAAACGTGGTGTGGTTTTATTTCTGATTTTATTCTTGGTCTCTTTTTCTTTCAGAAGAATACACTTCGAAGTCTTAAGATATATACCCCCATGATTGTTACTGCTAACTTCTGCAGCAGCAAGTCATTCCTGCCTTATAAGAATGAGAATCCTTAGAACTGACTGCATTCATAAAAACTGATGCAACACCTCGTATTGGCGGAGAAGTAAATCTTTAGAGATTTTCGAATGATTTCGAAAAGTTTTTCGAATGCCTGGTCTCCTCGTTCTCCGGACTTGAATCCATGTATCTTCTGGTTGAGGAGATTGCATAACATCCTTTCGATATTGCATAAAAAGGGCACTCTAATTATCGAAATTTGAACTACTGTTTCTTACTGCAGTGTTCTGTTTTACATGATCCACATGTATGTACACTATTTGATTCTACATGATCCACATGTATATACCAAGTTTCAACCAAAAGCATCAAACCGAATGACCTCTATATAGGTCTAAGTAGAGTCACTTTAATTATAAACATTCTATACAAAGTTTTTACTACTCAGCTTGTTAAATAAATTGGTAAAACTCAAATAGTTTACTATTATGAGCTATTAAGAAAGATTCTTTATAATAATGTATGCCTTTTTTAAAGCAAAAGTGCTTTAACCCTCAATATTTCTTCGATCCATGACTAACTTCGATCACTTCATTTTTATCTACAGAGTTAACATTACACTCTGATCTTTCTTTCAGAGCTGATCATTTTATTTTCCTTTTCTTTAAATTTTCCCTCAAAAATATGTTTTAAGTTCTACTTATTTTTCAAACCAGTTTTGACTTTTGTCAAATGTTTCATAAAGTTTTCTCAGCTCAATACCTCAGCTTCTCCAGATTAGATTATGAAAATGAATAAAAAGTCAAAAAGGCAACTGAAATTTTCCTGTCATGTTTCAATTTTGCTTGTTGTTGGAATTCCATTGGATGAGTAGTTCTGAATAAAGAAAATGTTCATTTAAGCATCTATGAAGTTTATTTCATTTCCAACCAATAATTTAATAATTTTACTCGTTATATTAATTCAGCTAATGTTTGCAGCGAAAAGCTAATCAGAAATAAATAAACAGTTTCAATTTTGCTTTAGAATGAGATTGTAAGTAGCTTTTAAAATTTAGCTCGATAAAAGACTGAAACATTAATTGTTCATACTTAAAACAAAACAAAAAAAATATCAACATAAAAAGCAATTTTATGAGTGTTTACTCAAAAAGTAAAGGAAACAGATTGGAATGTAAAGAATGAATGCATTTTCTATAAAAATAATTCAAAACGGACGAAATCGTACCTTACCTGCTTTTCTATCTCAGTGAATTTGGACAATGTGATTTACTTCAGATAATGCCAAATACACTCATGTCCAAAAATTAAGGATAATGCAAAATCAGGCAAAGGAAGAGTTAGAAGCAAAACAAATTTGACTTATTTGTAAAGCTTATTTATTAAACAAAAGGTAAAGAGCAAAAAAAAGATGCTATATGTTTGATATTATTTAAAAAATTAGCGATTTTCTCTCCCTAGAGCAAATTCCAAAAAAATCTATTTACAAAAAAAACCAATATTACATGGTTGGTATTATTGTTAATACATTGTATGTCTCCCAGACGATGTAATACAGTCCCATATAACGCCTAGGCATGCTGAGTATCAAATTATAGATCCTGATCTTGAGGGATATTACACCACTCAAAAAGCAATGCTCTGCGAAGTTTCCGGTAGACATGTAGGAGGTGGTTGACGGGCTGCAACTTCGCCAGGCCAAGCAATATCCCATACGTGCTCTACTGGACTCAAGTGCGATGAGAATGCTGGCCAGTCCATACGGGTGATATCCTCCGAAATTGAAAGGCATTCGCTTACGATGTTTGCACGGTGAGGACGGCCGTTGTCATCTATAAACACAAATTGTGCGACCATGGCGCCCCGAAACAAACGTACATGTTGTTCCAGAATGACGTCCTGATAGATTTGTCTTGTCATGGTTCCAATTTGAACATGCAGGTCAGTTCTGGAATCCAGAATAATTCCACCCCAAATGAGCACTCCTGCACCACCGTTACGGTGTCATTCAATGATGTTTTCTTGGTAGTAACGGGTACCTGGTGCTCTCCATATGAAAGTCCGGCGAGAAACTTTTCAGCATGTGACACCGCAGCTGCTAAAGCAACTGGGTAGGAGGACTTTCAGGCGTATCAAGCTGTGCAAAGATAATGGCGGTGCACATACGGATGGTTTGGACGAATAACTGTAAATGGTATTAAAGTGTTATTAAAGTTACAATGAAATAATATGAAAATATAAAGGGACTTCGTGGCAACTCTGTATGCCAGTCTAACATTTGGAAGGGATCCAGAAGCCCCTTCCTGCCTATTCGCTGTCACTGGAGAATACATATTTGAAATCAGTATTACAAAATATTGCTATACATCTTATAAGAATGTTTAAACTAAAAGGGAAGTCTCTTAGTTTAATGATGCTAGATGATAATTTCTAAAATGAGCAAAATTCTTTGCTTTTTTAAAAAAGTTAATCATTAGCAATATGAAGAAGCTCTTTGATTTAGATGTCAAGGAATATCATTGCACATGATATATTCCCTTCTTTCCTTAATAGTAATTAATTAAAATATATTATTTTGCTTTCATTTACAGAAATTTGTTAAATATCCATTATTACCTAGTGGTTGCAGTTTCAGTTATTAACTGCCAAGAGTCTAATTTGAGAAAGAGTCTAATTTGAGTCCTTCATCATGTTTAATGATGCAGCAAAATCTACTTTCTCTCTTGAACGATATTCTATATAACACTCTTTAACTTCATTGAAAAATAAATTATTTTACTAAACGCACTTATCAAACAAATTAATTGTATTTTTGTAGAAAATAGCATCATATTTTTAAGATATTGCTTGTATTAGAAATAAAATCCTAGACTTTCAAATCCCCGGCTATAAAATAAATCTACTAAGCAGTTTAAGCCACATTCAGAGCTTTCTTAACTTCTAATTTAATTTCTTTGATAGGATCTGTTCATATGTTTACCTTTTAGATTTATCTCAGCTTAATTAATACACATGTTAGCTTTAATTAGAATAAAACGGTTTAATAAACACTAAAAGATATAAATAAAAAATAAAAAAAGCTAGAAATTGCAATTAGATATGATGTACAAATATTTATAGCTTTTCCCCTCTTTGTGCCTTAGTAAAGGCTTCCTAACTTACGGTACTTGTACCACAGATGGTACATTATATTACTTTTGGTCTGCAATTTTTACTCAAAAGATCTAAATGAATATAAAACGGTGCTACTTTTTGTACATATATTGGTATATGATAATATATGATGTTTCACATATTTTTGATCTACTATTTGGTACAAAATTCAGAAAGTTTAAGAACTCATGCTTTACTGCAATATAAAGATTCTTCTGCAAGAATCCATATATTTTCTTATGAAAGGCAACTTCGTTTTTCAGCTATTTACTTCCAAACTTAAAACTAAAATAATTATGTTTTAGCTTTTTGACTGAGGAGTGAATTTAAACTGTTAAATATGCATAAATTTGAGATAGTTTCTTAAAATCAGGATATCAAAAAAACTAAAATATGCTTTTGTGCAGTAATACTCTAGTTTCTTAATTTTCGTTTTCAAGAGCATTTCTTTCAAAAATGCATTAACGTGTAATAATGTTTGTTAAATATAATGTATAAGAAAAATTTTAACGTATAAGAAAAATTTTAATGTATAAGAAAAAACATTAACGTGTAATAATGTTTGTTAAATATAATGTATAAGAAAAATTTTCGTAAAATTTCGTTTTACGAAAATTTATTTTCCTCTTTAATGCAAAATTTTAAAAATGAGATTTAGATGACAGCTTAAGAAAACTTCTGAAATGGTTGTACCCTTTGTTTTATAATTATGGATTTTCCTCTGCATTTTATTTTCATTTACTGTATTTGATTTGTATGTACTCGTTTTAGAACTGTTGATTCCCATTCTTCATTCGATTTGTATTTGTTTGCATTGTAAAAAATAGTAATTTTCTCCCTTTGCCTTATTATATGAAAATAATATAGTCTATTCTTAAGTATTGTATATCCTGAGATTAAAAATGTAACTTTATTTTTCAAAAAGAAAATATTATCGTGTCACTTAAACTAATATTTCTTAATTTTGGTTTTCAGAAGTATCACTTTTTGCTATATTTTCATATAATAATTTTGTGCATATAATAGTTTTTTAAAATAAAAAATTTTTCGTGTCTTGTAGAATAACATTTATTAAGGTTTTACTTACTTGTAAGGCGATGAGCATGTGTTAAAAGAAAAGAGGCTTGTCAAAGGTTCCATATCAACAGGTGAAAAACTAAAGCTATTAAGATCGACCGGAGATCTTGGGCAAGAATCCAGATCCCCGCATGACTTCTCTTCCGCCTCGAATTCCGAGTGAGAAATGGGACTGAAAGGTTGCGGTGACTTCCACGGATCTTGCAAGAAAGATGGATTGTTGGGCAGGTAACTCGATGGGGCTCCATCCATGGCTTTTATGCAGGACGATGAACGTCACACGACAGAAAACCTAAGAATGCAGAGAATGTTTTCATTGGTAAAAGGATGCGGAGGAGGGTAGCATCTTTTGTGTGAAGCAGCAGAAGTGTCACAGAAGCGCAATAAGAGAAATCATTTAATGACCTTCTATTGGTGCTTTCAGACGGAAACAGCCGAAAGGTTTCACTCAACTTTTGCAAATTGCGAAAATTACTTCCTGAAGTAAACAGAATTTATTAAGTAGCGAAATTTCGAGACATAATAATTAATATTTTATGGTAAAAGCATCCAGACATATATATCTAAACAATCTGGAACCCTGCAATAGTTAATTTAAATTTCATAATAACAACCTGGCAGAATTAATTTTAAGTAACTAATATAACTAAGGACAGAAGAAAAGCCACATTCTTTTCCATAGATATGTAATATTTTATTTTCTTAAAATTAATTCTTTCATTGCAGTAAAGTGAGGGCAAAGATATGATTTTTTTTCTTTTGCGTTTCAGGTGTTGATTTTTTGTTTTTGCTTGAATGCTTTCACTTAATAGTCACTGTATCTTTCGAGCAAATTATAAATTCTAATGAAGCCACATTCCTCTCAGTTAAATTGGAGGGGGTCATTTCTGACAACACCCTCTTAGGATAATTGACACTTGCCAACTATTTTCGACGATTAAATATAGGAACACGCCTCTTTATCAAGTAAACGTGTGTATTACATTGCACATATAATTTTATGACACAATGTATTAATATAGCATATATATTATTTGAAATTACGAATAATCTTCTTCTGGGCATTTTTCATTAAGTATCACTTAGTAACTGTAGCAGCCTGATCTATATCCTAATCTAGAGATTAATTATCTTAAAAAAGGAAAATAGATCATTTTTATGCTTTTTTTTATTTCATAATAATATTATTTTGTAACGGTATTTTACACATTTCAATATCATTTAAATCAGGAAAGGAAACAATACAAATCAGTAATTATAAAAAAGTGATAATATTAATTTTTACTGTAATTTATCACTTTTTAATTACAGAAACAAGGAAATATGAATCAAGTTGAAAATACTTGACATTAAATTCATGAAACATTTTAATTTAAATGAAGAAGTATTTACCAAAATGTAAAACTACAAAAAATCTTCGTGGTATTCAACTGAGAGCTTCAAGTTCATTGAGTGATAAATTTTAAAGTAATATCAATATCAGCGATTAGTTACTGGAAAGTTCCGCAAGTAATTGTAAAATTTCACTAAGATTTACAGAAAAAGTTCTGTAATACATTGAGCTATTTTAAGCCTACTTTTTCTATAGTAAGCTATTGAAAGAGGAGGCATAAAAATAGGGAGGATGGGAGCTGTTAGTGCAAAGCAAATTCTTGAAAGTGAACTCTTGGCGTCAGAAATTCAGATTTTATTTCATAGTTCTCTATTTTCGCATATAGTTCATTGAAGCCATGTGGTTTCATTGTGAAACATGCATTTAGTTCAGAAAAGTTACACAATGACAAAAACTTGATTTAAAGTATTTAAAGATAATGGGATTGCAGTCATATTGTTTCAATGCTCCTACACCATTTCAACTAAACCGAGTTATACAACATTACGAAATGTTTTCCTTTTGTACATCAACTGAAAGTGCAGAGGATTTAAATTACTCACATTCGTAAATTCAGAATGCTTAGAGTAGGGAAGTATTTTATTTGAAGTTGTTTCTATTAACTGATTTACCCGATTAGCACCAAAATTGCACAAACGGCATCAAACCTGCAAAAATTTTTCATAGAACAGCTTTAGTTGAGTGAACCGCGTGTTAAAACTGAATTACAATACTTGTTTAGGCAATTTATTGCTACATCACAGCTAATTTTATTCTTTATTTAAGCAGAGAATTAATTCTTAAAATTTTTTAATCTTGCTCCTGGTTATCTTCCAATGAAATGTTTCATGGTCGGATATAAACTGCAGTTTATTATTAATGCAATGCTTTAAAGAAATAAAAGAAAACATTGCATGCGTCATCACATTTTTCTATATGCATTATATCCCCTTACATAGCCTACAAATATCTATATCCATAACGTCTATACTCAACATTTAACTTTAATTAACGCGCGCGTCTGAATACTGTACATACATTTGGTGTTTTGCAAACAACGTTATCTTTAAATGTTTATTTTGATGTTAATTTTTCTGCTTTCTAGGTTACTTATTACAATTTCAGAGCAGGACTTATTTTTCAAACACTAATTTGTGAATTTTAATTTATTTTGAAAATTATTTTAATTTTCATAGACATGGTATCTAAGGTCTATAATTGCTGGAGACAGAAAAAATAATATTTTTTAAGCTTTCCATGCATTATTTTTAAGTTTTCTTTATTTTTTACTTCATTCCTCCCACAATTATTTGCAAATCACTCTTTACAATAATTTAAAAGGGAGTGTGATGTATATTTAATATTGAATTCATTTTTTAAAGTAGAGCGGAAGTACTTGTGAAGTTCATTTCTTATTTTTTTTTTATTTTGGAAATTTAGTTATGTCAGAGCAGTGTTTTGAGTGGACAGAGTGAGGCACTTGCCTCAGAAAATAGATGTTACCGAGAACAAAATTCAAATATTTATTCAAAGTTAAATTTTAATGTGAGAGTAATTAAAAATATTCAAGTGATGTAACTGTAAGATGTATCTCTGTTATTAAAAGCTAACAACATGTCTTAACATAATAATATTAATATCAATACAACAGCAATATAACATATTAATATAAGCTGCAAAACAGAAAATTAGGTGCTGTTATCAGTGTGAAATAGTTTTGAAATTAAGATGCGAAACATTATGTCAGATCTAAGGAATAATATTTGTTTATATAATATATAATAATATATAATATATATATATAATATAATATATTATAATATTATAATTCTCGGGACTCCACTCCAATGAAGGATGTATAAACAGAATGATGGCAATATCTGCATAAATTTCCTTAAAAGGATATGCACTATGTTAAACTGATAGCACTTGCTTAGCGACATAAGATATAATCTATAAACACCTAATTATGGAAAAATAGATGGTTTTTACTATTTATTATCTAAAAATGGAATAAGCTTTCTATTTTCCATATTTATGTGTTTTAGATGAGGTTATTTTGACTCTTTTCATTTCAAAGTGGAAAGTAACGAGGACGGTCCTCTTTAGAGTCATTTTAATAAGATTTAGATACTGTAATTAATAATGACAAATAAAATGGAAACGAAACAATGGATCATTTTTTATTTGAATGTACACTAAAGGGCTAGCGCATTAGCATCCTACATGTCCCTTTCTGAAAAGAAATGCAATAGAATATTGTGTAAATATGACTGTAGGTAAGTATTTCTCAATGAGATATTCGTGGGACATCTACTACAGAACATGAGACTGAAGTAATATTCTGAGGATCCTACTTGTTGACACATTCAGACCTAATTCAGTTTAAACTATTTAAGTAACTAAATATAACTATGTTTTAGATATTAAAATTTTTGGAAAAGGAAAAGAGAAAATATCAAAAAAGTGAATTACATTTAACTAGCTCTTCCTCACATGAATTTGACTAAGAAACAATTCTCAAATATAAATGTAAAAGTTATTCTCGCACGTTCCATACTTCACAAAAAGTTCTAATATAAATTTATGGTAAGTCTTTTAAGGTCTATTTTGAGGAGGAGTAAGAATCAGAGACAAAATCATTGAAACCTGGCGGCTGAAATTTCTTCCATCTAGATTTCTAATTTGCTTTAAGTTTATGAAAAACATTACGTCGTAAACAGTAAGTTATCGAAATTTAGAACATGCAAAAATGTGCACTTTTAATCACCGCAGAAAAATATGACAACTGAATTATTACAACAAGGAAATTTCTTAAAATTAGTATAGATATTTAATTCATAATTAACAGAATAACACTTCAGGAGAGATTATTCTTATTTGAAAATTACTTCAAAGCTTTTTTTTTTCTTTTTTGAACAGAAAGTTTAAAAGTGGCTGCCTTATGTTATCTTTTGAGTGTTAATATGAGTAATTTGCGAAGCAAAGAGGAAAATACGAATGTCGTAACGTCTTTATGGCAGTTTTAGTAATAAGCTGCATACAGTTGTGGGATTAGACAACAAAAATTTCGGTTGAAACCAATTATTTTTCCAAGATTCCTAATGATTTTCTCAAGAATTAGGATAATACATAAAAATTATTCTACTGTTCTTATTTTATTCGATAAAATTATTGAAGAGTAAAATAGTTTCACTGAATTGATGCATATGCTTGATATGGTATCTTAAGTAGATGGCTGAACGTGTTTTGGATTCCTGTGAGGGCCTTTAAGTCGTGTACCAGTTGTTGATACGTGAGTAGGGAAATAGAGCACTGGTAGCAAAACGCTGCCCGAAAATCTCCTTCAATTGTAGCACAGCATTTTACCTCAAAGCCTTGTAAAAAAGCAAAAAGTTATTTTACCGCCACTTCACATAAAATTAGCTCTTCCTAAATAGTATGTGAAAGCACTGACAAAAACACTAATTACCTGAGGAAGTTCCGGGAAAATTTACCTTTCCACTCAAAAGTCATGCTAAAAGAGTATACTTTCATCGGAGCTTTATCATTATCAAATTAAAAAGTTGATATTGCACTGCCTGAGAACTTCTAAAGAACAGGAGTGAAGTTTCTTGGCACAACTAATGGTTCATATTGCTGCAGCAAATGAAATATATTAAATTCGTAGCAGGAAAACTTAAATATTTTATGCTGACATATGTACGATACTTTCGATTGAAGAGTAAAGCAGGTCCCTTTTTTGAGTCAAAACGTTAACACAGTTATTAATAAAACTATAATTTGGAAAAAATTAAGGTCATTTTCAAAATTAGGTTCTTAAAAAAGGGGGGAGGAAAGAAAAGGAAGAGAAAGAGAAAAAAACTGCAACATCATTTAGTATACATTTCAGTAAAAA